CTTTTAGCAGATTTTCAGTACTAACAGCACTGACTCCAAGCTTTTCTAGTCGCCTCCTCAAGGTATTCTTAAAATGTGGTTCAAGGAAATGGAATCCTAAACATGGGTTTATATAAGTCTCTGTCTTTATCTGGTCCTAATCTATGAAATCCTGAAATACTTATCTGTTACAAATCAGGGCAAATCTAAGTCAAACATCCTGGGACCTGTTGCTTTTTTCACCTCATATCGGTGTAATTAAGGAAAAAGCTGAGAGAATAGTTACGCCAAATGAGAAGTTAAAAAAGTCGTGCCGAATAAGCATGCCCATCTGTCTTGTGTTAGCGTGCTATGACTCACAGAGATGTCTGGAGATCATCCCGTTTCCTTCCGGCCCTGAAAAAGACGTTTTCACAATTAGAATGTAGCCACCTCCATTTAGATTTGATTTTGATTTCTGTGCAGGAAATTCGTTCTAGAGAAAATAACATGGATGCCAGTTGCTAAATAGTTAAGGAAGAAAACAGAGTAATAAAGTATACTTACTCTCTTACCTTTTTATCTTTTTCTGTATGTTGCTCCTCTGCTGCTTCCAAAATCGTTCAGGAGTACTAAGCTAGCATAATATGTTCACTGTTCCTCATAGTCTGTGTCTTCACCACCTGGACGTAGGATGGATGAAAAGCACATTTCAAGGCCTTATAATGAAACTTCCCACAAAACAGTCATGGATGTAAGAAGTAGAAGGGATAGAAAAGGGATATGTCGGTAGATTCGGGGCTTTCAGCCTGGAGGGGAGGTCGGGGAGGTGTTCCTGCTCTTTGGCCTGTTTCTGTGTTTTGCATGAAGCAGTCACTAGGTAAAATGCAGAATGACTCTTGGGAATAGCGCTTATGCCTCTTCATGAAGCTGGCCTGTACTACAATAGAAATCTGTGTATTCAGATGGTCAATAGACCAGAAATATAAATAAATCTATCACAAAAGTGGAAGGAACAGCTAACTTACAGTGATTCTACAGCTGCATTTGCATGGAAAAAGAAATGTTTGTAAAAAGAACTGGCAGTGATTATTAATAATCAATAATTATTAACAATTATTAATTATTCTTGGTTATTATTAATTATTCTTGGTTAACAGAAAGCAAATTTCACTTTATATATAGACATAAATATAAACATTGAAGAAGTATGGTAGTGTGTCTGAGAGAAATATTTGGCTTTTAGCTGTGTGTGAAGAATTACAGTGTGTTCCCAGGACGCAAGAGAAAGCATTCCATAAATATTTACTATGAATGCATTGTTAACAGTTGATTAATGTGAATGGACAACAGACAAAGGTTGGTTGTTCTGTTTAATGTTGTGGTCCTTTTTCATTTATGCTACTTTGTCCAAGGAAAAAGGACACACAAAGAGAGTTGAAGCAGTTTCGAGCAACAAAGCTAACCTTGCATCTAGAACTGTTCCGTTTCAGTAAAGTGATAACATGTGAACGCTCTCACTAGATGAGTAGCAAATTAGGTAGATGTCATTGTGTAAGACTTTCCATACGGATATACTGAATGTGTCAAGTAAAACAACCTACCGTTTGACAGATGATGGTTTTCAAGAAGATTGCTGCATTCACATTGCTGGATTGCTATTGGAAAAGTCAGATGAAGTTGATGCAGTTCCAGATGCTAAGTATGAAAAGTTTATTGGAAGGCTTGACTAATGTAGCATTTACAGCCACAGACTTGCTGCTGAGGTACCAGCTAAGTGGGTTTTGTATACTTTCAATGTTGAAGCACTGCAATGCACAGCATAATACATTAGGAAAATGTTAGTCTTGATGTCTCAGATACACATTCATTTGCAAATACCCAGTTCATAAACTAAGGATTGTTTCCTCTAGCCACAGACACATTTTCTTTATGGCCAACTTCAATCAGCATTTAAGTTTACATAGCAAAGAAATAAGTAATATTCATGCAAGCAGCTGTGTTAAACAGTTTGAGTGGTATTTCAGATAAAGAGAACTGCTAGTGAAAATGCTGAAAGATGCTGACATTTGGTCTCAGGTTGTGACCTTTCCTTCTGTGTGTTATTTAGTGGAACTTGAGCATTTGAAATAGTGTCCTTGGTTTTGAATGGGAGAAGGGATACAATACATTCATTAAAGATGATGAGCAAGTGCAAAATGTTCCTCGCAGCTTCTTGACTACTGCTCACCCCTCCCTGCAAGCCATTCATTCCTGAGGCTTGTGGTTCTGGCAGAGCAATTCTTCATTAGCGTGTCCTCAACACTCAGCTGTTTTACAAAGAGAAAGCATCTACCTACAGGACAAGTTTTGTGATAGCCTAGGATTTCTATAAACAGAGAATGGAAACAACGTCAATTAATGTATTATATTCTCTCAAAATATTGTCTTGGCACTTGCATTTAGTATGATACCTATGGATTCTGAACTCCAAGTTTTTTGTAATTGGACCTAGTGTTCTCTCTCCTGCAGGATTTCTTTGCTGGGCAGTCAGTATATTGAGCATATTGTAACATTTTTTAATGAAATAAAACTTTTTTTTTTTAATTGTATATGAACAAGATTTCCTTTCTACTGTCCTACATAAGTACATTAGAATCTCAAGTGTGCTTCATAGAGGTATTTGCATTCAAAACAATTGCCCACACTATTACCTTTAAAAAAAAAAAAATCTGAGTCTTCCTGGTAAAATACATGCAATCTGACCAATAAAAGGCAAGTGGGTTACTCTTCTTAGTCCTACAGTGCTCAGAGCAGAAAGAAAATGCTGGAAAGAGTTGCCCTAAAATTAGTGGTACATGGTGGACCACTGTTTACATTTTCATTAGAGCTCTGAAGCCAGTGGTTTCAGGAACTTAACAGACATCACGAAGGAGATACTTTGAAAAATGGCAAGGTATGATTACTTACTTTAAATGCAAGTTGTACTATGTGATTTCTCTTTTCCATAGAGTGCATAGTGCAATTGAATCAACTGATCTCTTACTGTGTTTCAGGTTCACAATGCTCAGGCCCTATAGGTGATCTACTCAAGACATGCTGACACATGGCTGCTTGGGAAAGTGGTGAGTTAAAGTGTATGCCAGTGTCTTAAGAGTATTCTGAAATACCATGCTTCTTACAGATCCACAGAGAGGCATGATCACTGTGGAACTGGGAGGTGGTGGGGTTGTATATGAAGGATTATTTCTCAGATCTCACTACCTCCTTGGTGGAAATGTGACTGATCAGAGGTGTGTAACGAACTGCTTTTGAGAGAATTCTGAGACTGGCGCATTCATACTTTTCACATTTGTCACTGACTTAACGCAATTAATGAAATGACATCTTCATATTGGCTCGCATTATCGTTCTGACACAGGCATTTAAAAGAAATTCCAGTTGTGCTTTTTATTAACCAAGTCATTATTCACATAGACTAGGTAAGAGCAAGGACCATGTGTGTGTGTTTGTGTCTGAGGGGAAATGATTGGCACATAGCAACAGAAAACAATAGGTCTCTTTACTGTTTATAAGATGAACGCCTTTAAAAATATAATGAAGGATCTGACATTGCAAACACAGAACCACAGAATCATTGAGGTTGGAAGGCGTCTCATGAAATCATCTAATCCAAACCCCCTGCTGAAGCAAGGCCAGCCGGAGCAGGCTGCTCAGGACAAGCCTCATTTCGATCATCGAATAAATGTTGGACTATCAAAAATCTATGGTAGTGGCTTAAAATCATAAGATCTTTCTGAGTGCGTTTTGTCTTATTGTATTCTGTACTTAACATTCATGGTTCCTGTTTTCAACAGTTTCTCTGAAATCATGACAATTAAGAATTGTAATTACAGAAAAAGCTAGAGAGTCTCCCTTAATCACATGATTCCAAGAGCTGACATTTAAGACAAAAAATATACACAGAGATTTTTTGAATTATGCACACAATGTGTCACATCCACCCTAGACTCCATGCAAAGTTGCATGGGGTAGAATTAACAGCCAGCCCTTGAGCAGAGCAGTGGTTATAAATGAACTACCCAGACTGTGAAGAGAATGAATCTCATAACCAAGAATTTCCTCAGGCTTTGCTTAGCTCAGGGATGAAAACTAGCAACTGTTTTGGGAAGAAGCCACAGCCAATCTCAGCTACCATCATGACTGTTTAAGGAGAGGGTCACTCCACTGGTTCTTGATATGGTTCGATTGCTTCAAAAGCAGTACAGGAGAGAAAAATGTTTATGAATGACTTTGAAATCTTAAAACGTTGATAATTATTCTTTGCATCCCTCTTTTGGAAGCTTCAAATTATTGCTCATGCCATCTGCATTTCCAGCACATAACTTTCAGTGATTCATACCAGTCCCCTGTTTGTCATAATTGTAATTTTTCCCCCTTATGTACATGTACCACACCCTGGAGTTGCTTGCTTGTTTGCTTTTTAAAATAACATCTGTTCTTACTCATTTAAGTATTCCATAAAGATCCTTGAGACAGGAGACTTTTTCCTCCTCATGTGAGTAATGTGGCAGGCATGATGCATCTAGGTTTTCCAAAGGATACAGAGGGGTTGGTCTGTTAGATTTAAATGAACAGGTAAAACCCCAAGAAACCCCAGGAGTGACTTTTTTTTTTTTTCCCCAAACATCCCCTGATGGGCTTGGTTTTGACTGCAGTGGTCAGTAGGGATAATTCATTTAGAGGTTTGCTCCTCTAACTTTTCTACAAGCACACCTTGTCATTTCTGAGAAGGATGACATGGTTTTAAAATTTCCAATGGTTACTATGAATTCATTCATCTCACATTGTATTGCCAACTGCCAGCAGGCATCAATGAAGGCTCCTAGTAGGTCCTATTCAACCAGATGCTATTGACTTTCAAAAAGGCTTTTTATGCTTTATTAAAGTAAACCTGATCTGACTTTGCAAGATTACCTAGAGGAGGTTTTTCACGAAGGACTGGTTTACTTCTGGTAGTTTTTGTCCTACTCCTATTTATTTGCAGATACAGGACATCTTACCTTGGGCTTTGTTTAGAGGAATATCTCTTCTTCTAGAAGTTTCCTCTTTTAAGACCTGAATTTCTGTGTGTTTTCTTCCGACTTCAGTGAAGCTTTTTTCAAACAGAGCCCCTCCAGATTCATGCTGCTCTAATTCATCGTTCCACAATACTGAGAAGAGAGAGGTATAAGTGAAAGATCTGCAGATATTCTTGCTTTCTCTGTAGCTCTGTTACGGGACCAGCGCACCACTGAGCATTCTGTTTGTACTGGTACTTGCAGCCCTCCCACCCATGACTGTACTGTAGAGCTCTGTAACCTCAAGAGGCCTTCTAGGCTGAGTAAAAGCACCAGGACACATGGGGCAGAGGTGCATAGTCCAGATGAAAATGAGACTAATGGCCACCAAGTAATTAATATTTCATGGTGCCCAGGACAGCTGAGATGAATTTGGATTTGATTTTGGAGTGTTTGGTTTTGGTGTATAAATATTTGTTGAAATGTTTACACTCTTTTTTTCCTGAAAAAAAATACTGAAAGCAGTCTGGATAAAATCTGAACTTAAGAAGTAAAAGTTGATTAGCTACTAGAAATTGTATATTGATCAAAAGACACAGCTGTGTCAAAGTTGAATAAACAGGGGAAAATCAGAACTTATAATCAATAAACGCTAGCTAACAAAAAGAAACCTTCAATTTTAATAGTAAAATTTTACAATAAAATTTGTGATCTGCCAAGTGGAATTAAAAGATAACCTCCCAGTGTTTCTGAAGGTGCCAAGATACTTAAAATCACTAGAGCAGAGTAGTAGGAAAAAATAGACTTTGGACTTCCTGGCTTTAAGGAAGAAAACACACCTATGTGTTGACTGATATCTTCACTCAGATCCTTTTCCATTATTTACTGCCAGGAAGCTGGAGTGTGTGACCTAATTCCTGCAGTAGGTCCCTCACTTTTCCTGTTAAGGTTAACTAGTCCAATAGAGGTACATCTTGAGGAAGGTTCCTGAAGCCGCACGGAAAGGAGAAAGGAAGCTGAGCAAAGGTCCTCCTCTTCATCTCCCCATTTCAGGGCACCTCCCATCGTGTCTCCTCTGGGCTGTGCTCCTGCCCTGCTTCTCTATGCAATACCACTTGAGTCTTCCAAAGTTTCATCTTGTTTCCATCTGACTGGAAAAAACAATCAAACTGGAAGCAGGAGCCTGAGAGAAAGAAGATTAGTGAGCTGCCTCTGTCCTTGTCTCTCATCAGATGTCTTGCAGTTGGATACAGTGGGTGCATTGAACCTGTCTTGCCCTTTACAGACCTAAGAACTGTAACAGATTTTGGTTATAAAACAAAAATCTGGGCTGAAAACTACAGTCATTCAGGAACTGACGCACGAGCAGCTCAGATCTCTGCTGTAACAGAGAGAAGACAGTTGGCTATGGCACAGCACCCTGCCCCAAGCTAAGCCATCCCACATGAGAGCTATCTGTGTACAAGCCAGTTGCTGTTAGATGAATGCAAGACTGACTGTTGGGTCACTGGTGGAGAAGGAAGGGGCCTCCACTCACACAATGGAGGCTGGCATTTGTGGAGCCACGTGATGTGGCTGAGCTAGAGGTGTTGCTGCGGATGGTGACTTGTGACATAGTGGTGCGACGTGGCAAGTCCATGATATGAGGGGTGGCTTCAGTTTCCTCTCCCTTGAACCTCTTTTCAGAGAGCAGGCAGTGGAGAGATAGACCTAGGAGACTAACTCTCTCCCTCTCTCTCCCACATCTCTTCAAGGGAGATCTTGAAGGGCCCCTACATTTGTGGTCACACTATGTACTCATGGCTGCCTCTGGACTCTGTAACTTGAAGAGATCACCATTAGCATTGCTCTAATTAAATGGATATTAATAAAAGGAGCTGCAAAAAAGCATTATAGATAGTAATTTTGCTAGTAAGCTGTGGCTATGTAGAATGTATATGTGACCTGTTCAGTGACCCTGGAGCATGCTGACATTATCAGGAAGCCACAGCTGGCAATGTTAGATTTCTAAGCAGGAAACACCCTTAAGAATGTTGAAGGTAACAGAGACATTCTGCTGGGAAAAAAAAAAAAAGCATCCAGCCATTGTACAGAGGTCACATAACTTGACCACATACAGAGCAGTTTGTAACAACCTGAATAGGCAGAGCCAGGGTATTTAAGACTGCGATAAAAACCACTAGTTGTGCACGTGCTCTTGCTTCAGCATTGGGTATGCAGAAATGTTCACTTGTTAGCTTGTATTACTATATACATAAGTGTTAGAACATCATTAAGGGGAAACAAATAACCCATGCTTGTGTCTAACTCAGTATCCTCCCCGAGGCTTTCTTGTAATTCAGCTACAACTGCCTGTCCTATGTATAAAATGAAAAAACCTCTATTTACAGCCAGATAATTTTTCCTTGGCCTGAAGAGGTAAACAGGCCTCAAATTAGGTGATGACTTCATTGTCTTTGCATTTGTCACCATTGGCGATTGTAGGGCCTACATGATAAATAATTAATGATGGCTTGTATGAGGAGTGAGGATGCATTGAAAAATAATCATGATTAATTTTCTCTTCTTTTACAGAAATTTATTGTACTCCACAGCCCTGAAGGGAAATTCATAGCAACGGAACAGCTGTTAACAAGTCTTTATACAAATCACTTCAGTGGCCTGTTAGGTAAGTCTTTGGAAGAGTGATGGAAGGAGGAAATAACAGTTAGAATTTTGTACCGCAAAATCTTGTTATGAGAGAACTCCAGGACAAGTTAATGATATTGTTCTTTGTTTCATAAATACAAAAGTTATGACTTTCCTAGCATGCATCACAAGGCCAGTTCTTAATAAGACACGCAGTCTCATCTCAGCTGCAGCGTAGAACCTACAATAAGGGCCTAGCAGCTGAGCTAGCTGAGATGTCATGTTAACACTAATCCTAACTCCTTGTAGAACAAGTAAAGAGCGAAAGGACACACAGTCAGAGTTCTGTGCAAGCACTGCAATGAATGTATATCGCCAAGGGAAGCATTGTTGGTTTTTTTTTTATAAGAGTCTTTTATACTATCCAGCTGTTGCAGAGATGTAGCTAGACTGAGCTTAACAGAGGTGCAAGCCTCTGTTGGTTGGGGAAGAAGAGATCTGCTTTACTAACATTTGTTATGGATGGGCCCAACTTACAGATACGCAAATTCTTCTGTACTCAGCCTTTGAATCTGGCATTATCATTTAATCCACTTTATAAGCAAAACTTGGTTCCAGGTAGTAGCTGGTATTCAACAATCTCACAAGTTTTTTGATATCTAGACTGTAAGAAAATCACTGAAGCCACTGGTCTTGTTGACAATGACCAGGAGCTATCAAGTGATCTCTTTGGGGAACTGAAGTTCCAAGGAATAGGTCTATGAAGAAATGAAGAACAGCGAATGTCTTTTGCTGATAGCATTTCCCTTCCTCTTCTTTCCTCCACCCTAGTTTTTGAAACAGCAGCAGCATTAGCTTCCCATTATCGTGTTGCTGAATCTTTCATTTCATTAATTCCTGGCTCATCTTCTTCTGAATCATGCCAAAATTTAACCCAGTGTGAAATTTTATGATGAAGCTACAAAGTAGAAACTTAGCAGGGGAAGCTGACATCAGCATGCAAAAGAGTATATACAGTCCTGTTCATCTTTTCAGGGACATTTTTGAGCAGTAGCTGCCCTGATCCAGCTCTACGCATTGGAGATTAAATGAAAAAAAATAACAGCAGAAAACCCCACTTCCTCCATAATTCAGCCTCTGCTTTCCAAACTGTAACTGGCTTCATGCCAAAGACTCACAGTTCTTTCTTCCAAAATTAGCTTTCCCAGTCTTACAAACCCCACCTGCTTCTGACTGGAGTAATGGCGAATTTAAAAAAATGGTTCTAGTTCCAGCGGAAGAAAATGTATCTGGGCCACTGCAAACAATATAGCTTACTACTCTGTGTCATCATAGCTAACTGTTTGCGAAGTCTACCAGCAGTGTTTTCTTTTTCCCTCCCTTCTGTGTCTCTAGCTAAGAATATACAACGATACCTCCTTCCAACTAGCCTCACAGTTTATATTCCATATGTAAAATACCTCCCTTTTTCAGAGTATTCCATTGGGCTACCAATGAGTTGGACAGACTGGCAAACTTTTTAATAACACTTTGAAATAAAATTTCCAGAAATACAGCCCTGCCAACTCTGCCAACTTCCTGTATCATCATTCTTTTCTTCTTATTTTGCAGCTACTGATAGCTCAAGACAGTGTTTTACATGGAGAAACTGAGGCATAGAAATGCTGCAGATGTTAGATGAAATCAGGGAGAGATCCAGGAACTGAAGTACGAGGGCAGTCCTGGCCTTTCAGCGTATGCCAGGAAAGCAAAGGAAGTGTGGGCTAACAAAAGGAAAAGAAAAAATGCTTTCTACCAGAAATGGAGCATTTGCCATACCAGCTTTTTAGTATCCTAGAAACCTGAGAAGAAAAAGCACTGGTGATCACTACCTTCTGTGACTTTCCTTATGAGGCAGTCTGAAGAAGACCAGTCAAAAGAAGCTGAACTAACATTTCTAACCTGCGTTGCAAAACACTCATCAGTGTGCAGGAGGCTATCCTTTCATAGTAACACTTTCATTACCGTCTTTTGAAGTTTTTTTTTTTTTTACTTCATATGGAACGATTAAAGTTCCTTGTCTTCAGAAAAGAGCCCACATGTCTCCTGCAGATGCAGTGTGCAGGCTTCTGCATCACTCTAGCTCTGAGTCTCCATCTTATCCAGTGAAATTTTAAATAAGCTTTAGCAGAAGAGGTTGAGAGAACCTTACATGAGCATATCTCACTGGCCAGCATGCACTCCTGGTTTATGAGTGTTGTGAGGAGGATATTTGAACTTGAGCTCTCTGTAGATGAAGTAACTAACTCCAGGAACAAAGGGTGCTACCTTACACTCACTCTTCTCCTTTGAAAGGCACTGAAAGCCTTTCTAGCTAAAGGAAAAAAAATATGATCTGCAGATTCCAAGTAGAGTTAGGAACTCGCCTGGATCTCTCTGTAAACAAAGCTTATTCTATGTTTGTACTTTGAACACTGGCATCTGTGGCACCACAAAGTACCTTATTCTCTCTGAAGCTTACTGGCAGAGCACAAGCAGCATTGAGAATGATGCTAAGTCCTCTGCGTGAATATTTCCCTCCTTACAGTTCAATACAGCCATTTGTAAGAATATCTAATAAGGATACTCCTCTGCATGCCATTAATCAGCAAAAGCAATAAAAGAAATGGTGTGGTTTGTGTGCTTTTAGTACTGAGTCCCTTGTCAATGAAAGTGAAGTGGAGGTGATTGGGTCAGGATCTCTAATGTCACAAATAATGGGACATCTATTATGTCTCCTGTTGTAGTGCCACTCACAGTTGCTATTCTCCTCTTTGTAAAACGTAATTTCCATTGGAACTTGATGCAAGACAGAAAAGGGACCCTTAGTCACTCATCATGGGAAAGCATATAGATAAGGGCTGGGAAGTGGCTAAATAAATTCTCAATGTGTTTTACCTCATTTTCCTTTGGAAGTATCCAAAGTCTTCATACACTTCCATTAATACTGACAGAGCGGCACAAGACAGTGCACAGCTTTTTCAGGGCAAAGCTGTGAGCATCTTTCTAACAGGGGAAAATGCTCATTTATGAACTTGTAGGATAAACGCAGCTGAAAAGTTAAAGTTTGTCTTAATCAGGCTAATCTTCTTTGTAGTTTAAGAAGACTGCAGTTTTTGTTTTGTCTTGTCTCTGTGAATAAGACAAAAGTTTTCAGTAATGTTAACTGAATTTTTAATGGTACTTTGTCGTCCTGGTTTCAGCTGGGATAGAGTTAATTTTCTTCCTAGTAGCTGGCACAGTGCTGTGTTTTGGATTTAGCATGAGAATAATGTTGATAACACACTGATAGTTTAGTTGTTGCTAAGCAGTGCTTACACCAGTCAAGGACTTTTCAGCTTCCCATGCTCTGCCAGGTGCACAAGAAGCTGGGAGGGGGCACAGCCAGGGGGGCTGACCCCGACTGGCCACAGGGCTGT